AAATGCAAGTGCCCTAAGTCCCTTACAAAACAATTGTGATCTTTCTTCATTTTCTCCTTTCTCCATGAAAAGGGAATCACTGGAAAAACACAGAAGCCTAGAGACAGGCTGTCAATAACAACACAGGAAACAAAGAAAAAGAATTGTAGTTGACATTTAAATACTGCTTTAAATTTTACAAAGTGCTTTACATACGTCACAAGGTAGGCATTCTAGATCTCCATTTTAGAGATAAGAGAAAGACTAAATAAATTGTCTATGTTTATGCAGTTGGCAAGTATCCTAGGTGTAATTCAAATACTTTTAGTTGTCTCTGACTTGTCCAGAGATTAATTCTACTGGAAAGAGACATCGTAGACTCAGCAGGAAACATCAGAGATGCACCAGTCTTGAAACTGTAGCCCTGGAAACAGGTGAACTTCCTCCTCCCTCTGCTTCTGCTGCCTTTCCCCTGAAACTGAATGCCTCTGCTGCTGGCATTTTAAAAAAATACAGAGCATTGCCATTATTGATAAGGAGGACAGATGCAGAGACTCAGCCCAATACAGGGACAGAGAAAAAGTAAGAAGAATAGCTTCATAAAGTAGACAGCTGGCCCTTATCATCAGTGGGCACATATCTAAATTCATAGGTTCCTGTATCATTAAAGCTGGAAGGGACCTTAGAAATCACTGAATCTACGGGCAGCTAGGTGGTGCAGTGGACAGAGCATTGGCCCTGAGGTCAGGAGGACCTGAGTTCAAATCTGACCTCAGACCAAACACTTGACACTTACTAGCTGTGTGACCCTGGGCAAGTCATTTAACCCCAATTGCCTAAAAAAAAATTACTGAATCTATAGAGACACAGAAAAGTCAAGTAATTTGCCCAGAATCCAACAGCTAGTTAAAAACAGAGCCGCGTCTCAAATCCAGGTCTCCTAGATTCTAGTGCAGTGATCTCTCTACTTATCACAAAATTCTTAAAGATGGGAAGAACTTTTAAGGATCAATGAAGTAAAAACTCTCTACTTAAAGTATAAAATGACAAGCCTAAAGTTTCAAGGGGCCATTTAATCCTACCTTCTCCCCAGGAATCCTCTCTATTACATCCCTGACAGGAACTAGAGTTGTCATCCAGCCCCTTCTTGAACACTCCTAACGATGGGGAGCTTACTACTCTGTGAGATCGTGGGTTCCATTGGTAGATGGCTCTAATTTTTATAAAATGTACCTTTAATAGAAAATTCAGCAATTCCAAGAGAATATTTTAAGAATTTTAACTAGATTTCCCTTGAACCCTGATCCTCTGAATCCAAATCTTTCTACTACAGCCATATTGCTTCCTATTCTCCAGTACTTGGTGTCATGGAAAGAATACAGGATTGAGGAATCAGGAGCTGTAGTTCCACTACAAACTATCTGAAACTTTAGGTTAGGCATTTTAACTTCTCTATGCCTCAGTTTCCTCAACTGTAAAGTGAGGATAATGACACATAAATAAATAAATTTTATCAATAAATGAATTTTAAGTAAATAAGTTAAATAACAAATGAATAAATAAATAATGATAAAATGAGGATAACTGGGTTGTTGTAAGGGCCAAATGAAAGTAAAGTATAATATGAAATCCAAAAGATCCTATAGCAGGAGAATGGTAGAACTAGCTCCTATTGGCTTGTGAGAGCCAATTGTTAAATATTCAGTTTGAACATTTATATCCCAGAAATCAGCAAACATTACATAGAAGGCCATGATTCATTGGGTATTATTATTATTGTTATCATTATTATTATTATCACAACTTTAAAAAGCAATGGGGAAAATGTTAATAATGCAGATTAAACTCAAAAGTGTCATGTAGACATTTTTCTCCTGGAGAATCAGTTATTAAACATTTACCAGCACATTGCTGTATTTAAGTTTTGTGTTACTTTTTTTTCTTTAATTATACAGCAGAGATCACCAGTCAACCACTGGAAGGGGTCACTGAGACCATCCCAGGGGTGGGGAACCTGTGGCCTCCAGGTCACATGTGGCCTTCTAGGTTCTTGGATAAAGCCTTTTGATTGAGTCCAAGTTTTACAGAACAAATCCTTTTATTAAAAGGATTTATTCTGTGAGTTTGAATTCAGTCAAAGAGCTGCATTTGAGGACCTAGTGGGCCACATGTGGCCTCAAGGCCACAGGTTCTCCACCCCTGATTGTAGTCTAACATTCTCATTTTACACATGAAGAAACTGAAGCTGAGGAAGATTAAGCGATCTGACCAAGGTCACACAGTAAACAAAAGAAGCAGGATTTGAATCCTGGCCTTCTGGTTTGAGAGCTAGTGATCAATTCTACAGTATCATTTGCCTCCTTGCCACTTCTATCTGTCTCTACTGCTGGAACAGACCCTCTCCTCCCTCCTTGCATAGCTTGATGTTGCTTAACTTCTTGATCCCTGGTGGTTAGTATTCACACTCCACCACCCACTTAAATTACTTTGTATACATTTTGTATTTATGTCGTTTTGCTCCAGTGGAACATAGGCTTATGGTGGACTGGAATTGTTTCCTCTTTTTTTTTTCACTGTCACTACCTTCATCTCCTCAAGCCTGAACTATTGTAATAACCTTCCAGTTAGTTTGACTGTGCTATAGATCTCCTCTCACTCTAGTCCATCCTGCATTCAGCCACCAAAGTGATTTTCCTAAAGCACAGGTCTGATCATCATTGCCCTTCCCCCCAAAACTCCAGTGGCTCCCTAAGACCTCCAGGATCAAATACAAAATCCTGTTTGGCATTCAAAGCCCTTCAAAGATAGCCCCACCTACCTTTCCAGTATTTTACACCTTACTATGGATCTAGAGGCACTGGCCTCCTAGCAATTCCACAAATCTGACACTCCATCTCTCAGCTCCAGGCATTTTCTCTATCTCCCTCACCTGTAATCCTCTTCCCTTCTCATCTTTGCCTCCTGGCTTCCTTCAAGCCCCAATTAAAAACCCACCTTTTAACTGGAAGCCTTTCCCAATCTCTCTTAATTCTAGTGCTTTCCTTCCATTAATTATTTCCTATTTATCTTGTGTATAGCTGGCTTGTATATATTTGTTTGCATGTTGTCTCTCCCTTTAGATTGTGAACTCGTTGAGGGCAGGGATGGTCTTTAGCTTTTCTTTTTATTCTCATAGCTTAGTTCAGTGTCTGCAAGTAGTAAGCTAAATGCTTATTGATTGACTGACTTCTACTAGAACAACCCAGGACATGTGGCAGACACTTCATAATGCTTGTTCAATTAAATTAATTTGAATTGAATTTGATGATCTTTAGGAAGAAGAACAAAGTGGTTAGAAGTAGAACAAGCCAACCCAATTTGCCAAATAAAAGTATTTTTAGTTGGTCTTACTACTGTGCTCTAATTTTCCTAAAAACAAACAAACAAAAAACCACAAAACATTTCCTTCAGAGAACGAACAGCCTGGAATGCTGGGCCTATCAGCTTTATATTCACAACTTTCTCAGAAGAGAAAAAGATTAGGTGATTTTATGGGTGGAGCCTTTCAAAATTAGGAAGATAAAAAAGACTACCTAGTCTAAGAGGATTCTAGATCAGCATTTTCCAAACTAATGTAGCCACAATACTTTCAGGGTTAGAAATGTAATGATGGAACCTCTAAAGACCTCCAGAGTCTAGGAATTTGGAATCTACCAAGGATAGTGGCATAGGAAGGTTGGTGAAATTTGGGGAGAAAATTGAGAAAATATAACCTATTTTCATACCAAAATATTGCTACATATGAGAAATATTGGTACAAATAATTCATATTTAATGCTTTAGGGAGAAATATAGCTAGCATAAAACAGCCTTTGTATGGTGCCCAAGCAAGGTGGAGGGTGCTCCTTAGAACAGGTGGTAAAGATCCCTCTCCAGATAGATACTGAAGCATCCATCATGAAGAAAGCAGAAACTAACATGTATCATACTGTATGCAATACAATAGCAGTTTAATTGGCAGTTTCCTCATTTTTAAATGAGGGAATATTATACATACCCCACCCCTTCCAGTGATCGAGGATTCTATTCTGGTCTTTCCGAGAGGGCAGTGGGAAGAATGGGTAGCGGATGCAAAGATTGAAGCTGGGGTGTAGTTTCTGATAGTTGAACTTTCACGGGGTTATATCTTTTGCCAAGAAAACTCCAAATGGGGTCACAAAGAGTCGGACGAGACAGAAACGACTCAACAATAACACAAAAATAATTTTGACACCTTCCCCTCCAAAAAGTCCCACAAGGAGAAGGAACGAGCAGGAACAGTGGAGAGATTGTTGGATTTGGAGTCAAGTCCCAACTCTCTTTATTACCTTTGTAACCCCTAGGCCAACCACTGAACCTTTGTGAACCTCAGCTTCCCCGTCTGTAAAATGAGAGGAGGGTGGATTTAGATGAACTCGAAGGTCCTTTCCAGCTCTCAATCCTATGGTAGTGACGTCAAACTGGGAATAATGAGATCGCACAAGGTTCCAAAATGAAAGCGTGTTATAATAACGAATTCTTCCTAGAACTCTCATTCAGTTGAAGCACAACCAGACCCTAAGGTTAGATGGCCTTTTGTTAGGTATGTTTAGCAGGGATTCTTACTCAAGTACGGACCTGACCTCTGAGGTCTCTTCCAACTCTGAGAAGCCCCGAGGTTAAAACAAGTTCTAACTTGAGACTCTTCAACTTTGAAAGAGACAAATAAGGCACCAGAGACAAAAGCACCTGGAAGGGTTGCTACGGTCTGTACACTCTTTAGTAACAGTCGCACTCGAAGTGTTAAGTGTACTAAAAGTTCTCATCTTCTCCCCAACTTCAGCGCTCGAAAGAGCGTGCGCCGCCGGCCCCAACCTGGGAAAGGAAAGCAAACTTGCTGCCAGGAGAGGCGGGGATGCCCTACTGAGATTAAATGAAGGAAAAGGTGAAAGAGGAGGAGGAGGAAGAAGAAGACGACTTGCTTTCCTAAGACCAGGAAGCAATAGCAGTTGTAGAGCACTTACGTCTCGGTCCCGGAGCTCGGCTGCTAACAGGAGCCGAGATGCGGAGGCTCCGCGGGACCGGGGGAGGGGGACTCGCTCGTCGATCCCCGGAGGAAGCCAGCGGAGCGGGCCGTGGAAGGCGCGGAGAAAACGCGGCCAGAGGCTCGCTCTGGGAAGTCGCCCTGGCCCCCAGCGCCGTAACTGGGCTATGAATCAGCCGCAGGCTTAGCACCGGGGCGGGGGCTGGAGTTACTGGAAAAGTCGAGGAGGTGAGGGGGGTGGTAAGGGGAGGGAGTAGGAAGAGGCGAGAGGCGGGAGGACTTTTGCAATTTCCCGTCTCGCCCCGGCACTTGGAACTCCTGGAGACCCAAAGGAATTCGGCCACTTTTGCTCTTCCAGGGAACAGCTGGGACAATGGCCCTGACGCAGAAGAAGGCGCATTTAACCTCTCGGGCTTTCCAATCAGGCGAGGGATGGTGGGAAAGAGAGGTTGGCAAAGAGAGAAAAGGAGGAGAAAGTGCGGGGTGTGCGCGTTGTGGGGCGGGGGCAGAGAAAGAAAAATTAAAGCCTAAGACTTCTAGGCTCCTTATGAGCTGCTTTCACAACTTTAGCTAACAGCCTCCTCCCGCCCTGTGAGTCCCAGTTCCTGGGTCCTTCCTTTTCACCTTTCCCTGCCCCAGCCCCTTCCCCATAACTCATAAGGCCTGGAGTTGACCCCAAAAAGGCAAAGAATAAGGACTTCCTGGACCTCCTCTGGCTGTCCCAGTATAAGGTGCCTCCTCACCACGATTTGGAAACTGAAACACAATCTTGAGAAATTCCTAATCAGAATTCAAATAGAAATGTGGAACCATGGAAAAGTCTCTTCTCTTCTGAGGAGTAAGAGGAGAAGGGAGGGGAAGGAGGAGAGAGGGAGGGTTTTGGAATTCTCAGCCAATATCCTCAGTCACTAGGGAAGCCCACTAGGAGGACTTCTTGCTCTAAGTTAGGACTATGAAAATGTGTTTGAATAAATTGCCAGAAATAGCCCACAAGCACGCAACTTAACTGCCCTATGTCGCCAGAGAGTTCTTTGCTCAGCTACACGGAATTTCAAGAACAGTAATGTCCAATCTCCTTCCAGACCTAAAGTGGTACTTCAGGGACTTTCCTCTAAAAGGCTTGATGGTTCAAAGAATGTTAACAGAGTTCATCTAGTCCAACTCTCTCAAGTTATTTAGGAGGAAACCGAGGCTCAGAGTGGTTAATTGGCATGCTTATGGCAAGCTAAGCAAGTGAGAGAGCTGGGAATAGGCTCCTATAGCTCCTGATCTCAATTGGTTCAATTGATCGTTTCACCAATTATACCTAAATGATGGGCCATATTCTCACCTGACCTAATTACCTTTGTTGATAGTGTAAGCCTCCTCTAGAGGGAGCAAGAATGGCTTGGACCTGTATGAACTTCTGGAATTCGGAGTTTTCTTTCTGTGTGCCTCCTGCCCAGGCCTCTAGGGAAAGGGGCACTGTATATTCTCTTCTTAGAGTGTTCTCTCCTCTCCTTTTTTGGGGATCTTTTTCAGTCCCACCATCCCATCCACCTCCAATCCCCAATCATGTCATATTTCCATGCCTCTGGGGATTGGCAAAAACTCCAAATCCTAGCAGTCTAATAGGGTGGGGGACTTAGAAAAGCACCAGACTTAAAGGTCTTACAAAAAAATAAAAGCAGGAAGAATCTCTCAAAATCAATTACCAATAATAATAATAATGGTGTTTGAAAATGTAGATGCTCTTCTCACAACAATCCCTGGTGAATGGTCAACTTAAGGTGTGTCACCTTCATGGGGATAACAGGATTTTTATGTATGTTCACATTACTATCATTTCAAAAATCATTGTAGAGGATCTACTTAAGACACAGCACTTTACTGGGTGCTCCATAAATATTTAATAATGATCATGTATTCTATCCAAGTAAAACTTTGCTATATATTATATTTAAAAGCGTTTGAAACTTCTGTTTTGAAGCTTCTGTGAAACAAACATCTTCTGTTTCTATGCCCCAGACATTTCACAAATCTCAAAACCTGATTTAGAAGGGACTCCAGAAGCTGTTTTGGATTCAACAGTACCTGAACAAGAATCTCCTCTCAAGTAAAGCCTAAATGATCCTGGGGGCATATTGTCAAGGGAATTCCTATCGCCATATGGCTTGTAAGGTCAATTTTCTACCCTGAAATTCCGTAATCCTTAAAAAGACTTGGTCTCTCCAGGCCTTTCCTCATCCCCTTAGGTGGTTAGTAGATAGAATGCCAGACCTAGAGTCAAGAAGACCTGAGTTTAAATCCTACCCAACACTTACTAGCTGTATGACCCTGTTCAAGTCACTTTAGCACTAAGCCTTAGTTTTCTCATCCTTCAAATAAGTATAATAACAGTACCTACCCCAAAAGATTTACAGAAGTTCTTTTTGCGGTGGCAAAGAATTAGAAATTGAGGGGAAGCTCATCAATTGAGGAAAGGCTGAACATGTTGTAGTATAGGATTGTGATAGAATGATATTGTGCTATAAGAAATGACAAGCAGGCTGATTTCAGAAAAACCTGAAAAGACTTAAGTGAACTGATGCAAAGTGAAGTGAGCAGAACCAGGAGAATGTTGTACACAGTAACAGCAATATTGTACAATGATCAACTATGAATAACTTAGCTACTCTGATCAACATGATGATCCAAGACAATTCCAAAGGACTCACAAAAAATGCTATCCACCTCCAGAGAAAGAACTGGTGGCATCTGAATGGATATCGAAACATACTGTTTTTCGCTTTATTTTTGTAGTGGTTTTTTTTCTCTTTTGGTCTGTTTCTTTTTCACATGACTAATATGGAAATATGTTTTACATGATTGCGCACACACTCACACAAAATAATGGTACCTACCTCCCAGGGTTGCTGTGAGGATAAGATGAGATAATCTTTGTAAAGCACTTAGCAAGGCTAAATTTGAACTCAGGTCTTCATGACTCCAGGCCTAGCACTTTATCCACTGCCCCACCTAGCTGCTTCTATAAAAGACTTCAGAAATGTTTTACCCAAAGCAGAGTACCAAAAAACTATCAACAATTTAGTCCTGGACACTATTCCTCTTAACACACTTTTTGCACTAGATTTTTTGGCTGCCATATCACACCTTTAACTCATAATGAGCTTTGAAGTTGACCAAAACTCCCCAGTCTTTTTCAAATGAACTGTCATGTTCAACCTCTCCCATCCTGTACTTAAACAGTTGATTGTTTGAGCCAAAGAGTGGGTATCTACACTATCTAAGTTTGAGATCTGAGTTATCTTCTCTCTTCTCTCTTTTGGGATATCTTTTGCCTCAATTCTTACCTAGACCTTAGTCATTTAATGGGCATTGCCTCAGACAAATGAGACCTGGGAAAGACCTAATTTAGAAAGGCCAAGGCACCCTGGGGTCATCACCAATTGTCTTGACTTTTGTCTTGTCACTGGAGTTCAATGACTCTGGAGGCAAAGGTGAGGCTGATGACTTTTCAAAGCTCTGCCTCACTTAAATATAATTCACAAGCATGTCAAGACATCACCCTTGTGATGTCATTGGTCCTCTTCCAGAATAAAGGATGAACAATAGCACTGTCTCCCTTAGCAACCTTCTCTATACCCATTGCCTCCCCACCCCCACCTCCATGCACATGAGTCCCAAATCTAAATCTCCAGTCCCAATTCTTCAGCTGATCTTCAGCCTGACACTTCCATCTGTCTACCGACATCTCTACTTCACACTTAATGTGGCTAAAACCAAACTCAACATTTCCTTCCAAAACTTGCTGTTCCTTCCAAATTTCTGCTTATGGTACCATCATATTCTGAATTACCCATGCTTACAACCCACAGTCATCTTTGGCCCCTCTTTCCCTTATCCCCTTCTCCATATCCAATCAGTTGCAATTTCTGTTGATCCAGTCCTTGAAATATCTCTCACACCTGCCTTTTCCATTCCCTTTGCCATCCCTCTAGTTCACATTCCCATTACCTCTCACACGATTGCAATAGCCTCTTAAGCAATCTTAAACCCCACCTTCAGTTTCTTACCACCTCAATACATCTCAAACATTGCTGGCATATTAATTTTCCTCTGATTACATAACTGCCTTTCTTAAAAACCTCCAACAGTTCCCTAGTTCTCTACTTACCTCTTAATAAAGTGTAGATACCTGACTGGCATTCAAGCATCCACAAATTTTTACCAATATGTCAACCTTGCCTCATACTGCTGCTTCCTTTCCCTTCTTCTGTGCTCCAATCAAATTGGACTACCCTCTATCCCTCATCATAGTTTGTCATCTCCTGTCTCCATTCTTTTGTTCATGCCATCTTTCTTCCATATACAACTAGTCTTCCATTTAGGCAGTTGCCTGGGGTATTGAAAAGTTAAGTCACCTGCATTAGGTCCCAGGTTTGTGTCAGAGGCAGGACTTGTGTCTAGGTGTTTCTGCCTCTGAGACCAGCTCTCTAGCCAGCACTCCAGGCTGCTTTCTGGAAAAGATACATTGTAAAACATATTGCAACTGTGGAAATTTCTAATAATTCTTATTTTCCTGATAATCTCCCTAAATATTAGAGATGCATTGTACTAGGAAAAGAATCAATGCATAATTTTTTGTACTTTCCCCACTGCTGTAATTATTATTTGTTTCAAGACATTTCCTCTCAATGGCATCTCTACAAATTACCACAGTATCCTTGGGCAGGAGAAGAAGCTATTACATAAAGCTAAAACCCCCCCAAAACCCACTTTTTCTTAGCACTAGGAGGAGGCTGTTATGAAATTGTTTTTTGGGACATGTTTGGCACCTATGTGATATCTGACAATAACCAACAATTTACAGAATGCTCTGATGTCATTCATTCTTTCCCCAGCTTAATGATTCAATTACTTACCACAATACTTAAGATTTATTAGCACCAAGAAGTTGTACTGGCCTTCAAACAAAAAGTAAGATCTTTGGGGGAAGCAGGAGCCATTCCTCTATACTTTCTTGTTTTAAGACTACTGTAAATGCTCAGCAAATACTTGCTGGTGGATTGTCAAACTTGGTTAAATTAAAAAAGTTTATGTGTGTGTATGTGTTGGGGGGAGGTGTTGAAGGGAGTATTCTTGATAATAGTAGAAATAAGGTGGTCAGAATAAGGTGGTACTAGAGCCCCCCCCATATTCTGTAAATAAATCTCTATAGTGATTTGCTGGCATTTGAAGTTTTCTTAAGCAATACACTTTGATGTATCTGGAATGTCAACAATGCATATAAAGTCTCTCTCATGTGATCTTTGACCAGAATACAACCCATGGATATCTTCTTATCTAGGGCAATTTTTATTTATGTTCTTCCATTTGTAGTACACTTTAAAAACAAACTAT